CACCCGCACGAATGCACTTTTGGGTGTTGCAAGCGCGGGAGAGTTTGCTCAGGGGAGTGTTGGGATCTACCGTGCCTAGGAAGATAGGCTTAAATTGATTCATACCTGTAAAGCAAATTTTTATTTTATTTTTACCAAGGCAGCGGAAATTTGTAAATGAAATCGCAAGAGAGAACACTATAAAATGAACTGATAGAGCAAACAAACAATTAAAAGTGAAAGCAAGAAACACAACAAACCTGCATTCGCAAACAGGAGGGTTGGGTCGTTGAGCGGAACGACAGGACTGGATTTCCAGTTGAAATGGCCCTTGCCCTCGAAGAAGTTGACGAAAGTCTCTCTGACTCTGCTGGCGGGCCAATCCATGGTCGATAAGGACGAGTCACCACCGCTAACAACAACCCGACAAGGGCAAGGGAAAGGGAAACGTGATCGGAAAAATGAATAAGAAAAAGAATTTGTGAGAATGAGATGCTGGTGGAGAGGAGAAGAAGCAGCGAATCCTGTTCTGATGCTTATTCCTCTGACGCCGCGGAAAGCAAATGCAACGGCACTCGCTACGGCTATGATGATATTATTATTTTTATCCCCATAAACCCTCATCCATCCCCTGATGACCTACCACCCTCCCCGCTTCTCCTTTACAAGAATGAGCTCAGGGGAAACAAAATCACTACTAAATACAAAGATAAATAAAAGTTCTATGCTGAAAGAGAATTCAGAATCGCTTTTGTTTTAAATATATTAATTTTTTCTTTTAAAAAGGATAATTCAGCTTGCTCTTCCCGATTGTTCATCTAGCCCACGAAAAGAGAGGCGGGAAAAACAAAAAAGCCAAAGAAATAGAGGAGAAAAGATTATAAATATTTTGAGAAAATGATATTTTTTTAGTTGAGAAAATGACATTAAGTCAGCATAAACACGTCATTGGCTGTGTTTTTAGAGGTATTTTTGAAAAATATTACTCTAACTGTTTTTTGAAACTCCAACGTCGTTTGGATTACCTATTTATTAAAAAATTATCTGTTTTTTAAAGACAATTACGTTTGGATTAGCTGTTATTGAAAAATAATTTTTTTTTTTACTGCCTTACACTTTTTTCCTTACTCTTGTATTACTTTTGAATTAGCTTATAAAAACTCACACAATGTTTAACAAACACCTCTACGAAATTTTTAGAATTTTGTGAAAAAAATTATACACTCAAATAAATTGAATAAAACCTTTTTGGATTAATAAAATGCGATGCAGAGAGTTTGGTAGAGATACGCGATCACTTAGCATGTCCGTAGTAGATAAACTAGTGGAATAGGTTCACAAATTTCCCTAATTATAGCTCGATTCCAAAGCACAGCTATGACTAAAATCTAATGATAATGGTGATAATACATGTGATCGGCTATTACTCTTCAATTTTTATTCCAATTGGCAATTCCTTATGCCGATATATCAACTGGTTGTTGTCCCATGCAAATTATCAACCCAAGCTCCAGCCGCTTCTTGTTCATTAAAATATGCATAATTTAGAACGTGCTCTCGCATGAAGTTGTGCAAGGCACAACAAGTGAGGACAATGTTGTTCTGTGTTGCCACATATAATTCTGCATTGGTCCTTCCAATGTCGGAAAGCGTTTTTTCAACACCAAATGTCCTTTCTATAATATTTTTTAACGATGCATGACGCCTATTGAAAAGGATTTTAGCTGCACGTTCTTGCGGGGTCCCTCGTGCTCCTCTAAAAGGAGTCATAAATTCTGGCATATTTGTGTACGTCACATCCACTACATAATATTTGCCTGCGCAGTTTGAGAAGATATAGCTTTAAAAAAATGGAGCTCACAATGGATTAATAAACTCAAGTTAGAGATAGGATTTATAATTTTGGGAATACAACTTCATAATTGAAGACAAACCTAGTGGTGGCATTGGAAATTCAGCATTAGGATCCAGTAAGGTATTACGTAGGATCTTAGAATCATGCGCACTACTTTTTCATCCTACTCTTACATAAGTGAATCTCATGTTATGGTCACAGCAAGTTAGAATATTTTGCGATAAACTGCCATGCCTGTTTCGATAACGGTCTCTGTCTTCGGCTCTACACCATGCGAAAACGTGTGTTTAGTCAATAGCTCCAACACAATCCTAGACAATTAGGGGGAAAGCAATGTATTTAGTAGGCATCAAGATAGCGCTGTACACGCAACCTAAGGAGCCTTACCCAGAACCACGGCCAGAACAGAGCACGACCCAATGATGCGTGGCGTGATAATCTACGAGCCTTACACAATCCAGAACAAAGCCTTACTATGATACATGTCATGATAATCTATATGTTTGACCAAATCACGATCCAATCGAACAAGCGCTCGAAAGCAACGTTGAAGATAACGATCCACTGTCTCCAATGAATGTTGGAATCTCTCAGCTAAAACCCTATGACGTTCATTATGACTGAAGCACAAAAGGACAATGGTAACTGCGATGCCCCAAAAGAAGAAGAAAAAAAAAATTTGGTGAGCAGTGTTTTTAGAGAATCTGGCCGGATATCCGGCCAGTTCTTGGCCGGATTGGCATGCTCATTTGAAAAAAAATTTGCAGAGCTTCTGCCTTGAATCCAGCAGACTATCCAGCCAGATTCTGTCGTCGTACAGTTTCCTTGGTGATTAAGTCTTCATCTTTTGACTTCATTTGGAGTTCAAAAGCCACTTTTCTTTCTTCTCCAAGCTGATCGAACTTCTTGGGAGCAAAACAAAGAGAGAAAACTCCATTTTTCTCTTTGATTTCCTTCACCAAATGTTGAGAGTTTTCTTCCAAGTGCCAAGATCTACTCGGATTAACTTCACATCTAAGGGGATAGCAAGCTAAGGGTGGCGAGTTTTGAGAAGAAAAGGGTTTTCTTTGCTTGTTTTCAAGGTGTTGGAAGGTATAACATTAGAAGCTTCTTTTATTCTTTAATCCTGTGGTTAAGTTGTTGGATGAGTTGATCTTGATTAATTTTATGAAAATTCTTGTGATTTGAAAGTTAGGATGATAAAGTTCCATATTAGTGATATTTTTAGACTTTATCTCAGTTATTTCATCTTTGATTTGGTATATATATGATTAGTAGAAGCTATGCTAGTGTTAAGGTGGAATTTCTAACCCTTAATCGCAATTAGTGATGGTTATATGCCAAGGTTAGTTTAGAAGTGTAATTTCAATCTTACCTTGTTTTTGGACTCAACTTGGGCTGCAAATTTCTCTATGTTTTAGACCGAACTAACTTTTGGACAAAACATAAAAGTTGTAGACATTTGAGTTAACTGTCTACCTGCAAAATTTCAGATAGATTGGAGTACTATAACATGTAAAATGACTGAAATACCCTTGACTGCCTTTAAACCCTATTTCACGAACAGTTTTCCATTTTTTTTCTAAGATTTCGATTTTTGTCCATGGAAATGTATGATTTGACTTTGGAGGTCTTCATAAGAAATGTAGACCTATGTTTTAGTTTCGTAATGCCATAAGATTCGTCTCAATTCGATAAGTGTAGCTTCAATTGTGATTAAAATGCCAAAAGATGATAGGAACTTGACGATTTTAGAATTCCCTTTGTTTGACATGATATTTGTGATCTAGGGCTTGGATTTGAACAATGTACTGATTTATGATAGATGAGGTTCATGAACTGTGGTTGGTGAGTGATTCCACAACTATTTGCAAAGTTACTTTTCGAACTATTTCTTGCATTGCTTACTCGATTGCATATCATGAGTGCTTGCATGTGTATCATGAAATGATTTGGTTTCAATGAGTTCTTGAGAAGTTTGGTGCTTAGAACCAACGTCTCCACCACTATTTATTTGGAGCACCGATGGCTCTCTATTACTGTTTGACTGTTACTGGATCTGTTTGAGCGTTGGAGGTCTAAGTACGATGATTTCACTGGCTCACAAGAACAATAAACGTACATTTGATCACTGATTCATGACATCATCTAAATGCATTGTTGTGAAACTGGTTGGATTACTGATTTTATTGGTCACTCGCTAAACTTCTAATTCACCCCAAAAATATTTTTTTCCCCACAGGGCCTGAGGCAAAGAAAGCACTTGTAATAAGTTATTCGTGGGATTGGATGGAATATCTCTTATACAGTTTGAATTTAGATTCATCTTGTGTAATAGTGGAGATTGTATGAATGTTTGAAATTGGAACGAATGTATGTGTACGTTCCATGCTTGGAAACTAGTATTCTCTTCGCTTGTGACATGCAAATTCGTGGAGGAATTGATGTATTATTTGAGATGTGCCTTGTACGTTATTTGAATATAGTAATGAGTGAGTGAGTCTCGACGAGAGTTGAGCAGGCGATCCGTCGAACCCTTTGGTTCGTCTTAGGGGAAGGTGGAGCTGTCACAGTAACAGACTCATGGATTCCTACCCTCTGTGTGGGATGCGAATCCCAATAATCCCGCGCGAGCAAGAGATCACACAATTGTAGAAAGAGTGGAGCTTCCATGCGAAGGTTATCAAATATTCTATCTCGATGCCCATTAATCAACTCCACCACCCATTGTTCACCTGATTGTGCACCATCATGTATCCGGTGCCTCGTAAATGGGTTTAGAGATGGGTGAAACAGAGATAGCCCTAAGAGCACAATCATGGCAAGGGTCAGCACCAAATCGTCCTCATCAAATTTTTCAGAGGAGTCTCCCCCTGGATATGATCTTCATTATCCATTAACGGATATGAAACGGCAAAAACGCTACTTGTATCTGTAACAACAAAATGGTGACGATACGGGTCAAAATACAGCTTAACTCATTCAACAAAAAATGATTAATTAGCTCTGCTAAAAGATATCCCATACAAAAAATAAGGGAAAAAGAAGTGCATTGATATCTCAAAAAATAGCATATCCAATATGAAAGGTATTAAATATTTCAGCCTATTTGCATTATTTAATACGTCCTCCTCAGAAACATTAAATAAACTGCCAGCTCAAGGTGTTGGGCAAATAAGAGTGATGAATTGTGGAAAATCATTTCCAGTCAACAATAAAAGGCAACACCACACAATGCAAGGTTTGGATTACTGAAATAAAATGACTCAGCAAACATAGAAAATAGAATCCGATAGCAAATGCTACTTGTCAAGCACAAACTAACAATCACAACAATAGGCAACCTTAAGGATTGCCTCCTATCGAAACCAGAGACTAAAACAGGGGAGGAGAGGGTTCTTGAGGAGTCCAATCAGGCGGAAGGCAGCCTCAACGCTTCATAAATGGGATGCGATCGACATCCGATCCAGCTAAATCTCAAATAATGCGCTCTTGAGGGTCATTCAAAATCTCTGCCACTTCCATTTTTGCATTGCAGTCCACTTTAGCCACTTGACGAAGTTCTACCAAGGCAATATTGTATGCTGATTTCTTTGAACTGGTCCTAGAAGCATTCTTAGTCGGAGAGCTAATTGATACACTCATGTTACTAGTTTTCTTCCGACTAACTAGTAACTCAATGGTATTAAGGGCCTGAAAGTATCTATCAGTGATTGAACCAGATGCAGTGGCCATGGGACTTCAGCTTGATGTGTCTTCAGACTTGCGCTTTCCTTTTCCTTTTTTCCCTTTCTCTTTCTTCGACCCAACTATCTCCAACTCGGCATCTTTCTCCTCAGTCTCTAACTCGTCCTTTCCCCGTGCACCTCGTGCTTCATTTTCTATTTCTAGCTCCTCAATAGAATTACGAGGGTCGTTCTTGAAGCCTACACTAAAATCTCCGATTGCACCTTGCTTGGCAAACACCTCTTTTAGTAAATGGTAGACGGTGCAATCATTTTGAAATTTGGTATATTTTGGGTTAACCTTACACAAAACAAGAAAAGTAGCCAATTAGTTCAATAAATTATTGAACATATGAAAAAAACAGCAATGATAAACAAGTTTCACGACCCAAAAACAGTATTTATACCTGCTCCATCTCTTTCCACCTGTCATCATCCATAAGGAAGGTATGATTTTGGCTATCCCACATGTTCCCCTTTTCTTGAAGAAAATGTACAACTTGGTTAATTCACGCATTGCATTATATTTACTTCTTATACTATCGAAACTGAAAGAGGTGTCGTATAAGGCATTCAACCCCCGTTGTATTTCAGTGATCACATAGCTAGAGATGTTATTCTCTCTAATTTCATTTGCCATATGCATGTTGACAAGGTGTTGGGCATAGGCAATTTCATGCTCCTTAGAGAAATGAACACGCTCTGTAAACCTGCGCCTTTATTTTCTCATCTTAATTTATAGATGGACACAATGCAGAAACATTAAATGAATGGTAATAGCCGGCAAATGAATGAAAAGGCAGGGGAATGTATGATTTTCTAATTGAAAATAAATGGGAGGAGGAACTCTGGTTGCACCTTATAGTAGTTCGAAATGCACTGACCCAAATCGTTTTCTCCCCAAACAGATATAGACGTACGAGTACTCTGGCAACCTGCATGTGTCAAAGCTGTAAACATCAAACAAAAAGATTCAGCTATAATTAAGTGAGTAAGCATTCAGCACCTTCATAATAAGTTCATTATACCTTTATAAGCACGTTTTGTAATAGGGGGCATGTAGGCTTAAATGGTGATATGGGCTCTAACTGAATGATCTTAACCCAAATAAGGAATAGCAAGCCACGAAGTAGGAGGACAGACCAATTTGAAAATGTGTTGCAAAAGCGGAGGCTCAAAATACATGCAAATATCAATCGTCAGCCAACTACATAATATAAAATTGAGTAATAGAATCCAATAAGGCAAAATGTTTTGTTTCTACTCCATAAGTGTTGACACTGTCAAGGCATTGAATCAAAGAAAGTTAACAAGCAGCAAACACCATTAATTTAGCCTTATGAATAAAAAAACGTCACACAAAACTAAACCCCCATCAATAAAGACAACTACAGGACATCTTAGAGGTGGACATTGGAGCTCTACAAAAGGGAAAAGTTCACAGCCAGGTCGCCCCTTTGACAAGGCCACAAACACCAATTCTGTGACAAAACTACTCCATTGGTTCATTATTCACCGACAAACTGATACACAATAGCTAACAAATTATCCCCAAATTATATCTATAGGCAACCAATTGAGGATCCATTAGCGAATGAAAGATCAGAAACATTTTGCCCCATCAGCTTAACAAAGGCTGATGGCCTCATTCCAGCAAGGCGTACTAAAAATTTTCGTGATACTAACCAACACAGCAACCAACAATTAAATTCGTAGATTGCTGAACAAGAACAACTAAAAACTAAATAGCAATTTCTCAATATATCAATCAACCAAAAATTCAATTGCAGTTATAAATTCCACAACAACAGGGCAATGGTAGTTATAAAATAGCAATGTCTAGCTTGATGGCAGACTAAAAATTTAATTAATTTATTGCCAACACTCATGGATTCCAACTCCTATCCCGATGCCAATTTCTATAATGGTATATTTGGTGCAACTTATCTACTGAGAAGGAGAAGGAAAACTCACCAGATTTCGAGATGTCTAGCTCAAAGCTAGAGATCCTCAGGCGAAGTCCAACTACATTTGGATTGAGCTGCTGCTTTGTCGCTTCTTCTACCCAATTTAGTGCCACACAGATGCGCAACTCCAAGGCATTCTCATCTGCTTCTGCTATACTAAGCTACTCCAAGAAGAGTTGAAACGACAAAAGCCTTGGCGTTGAAACCACCACTGAACTTAAAGGAGGTCGAAACTCTACGGACGTAGTATTCAAGACTGTAATGGAGAACTAATTGTGCGGCCGGTTTAAAGCTATAGCAGTATGGAGGGCTCTTGCAAGGTCTCCATCTTTCTTTCTCGTTTGGACTCTATTTAGACCTGAGAAAGATTTAAGGCAAAAAAAAAAAAAAATTTGGTTCATTATTGCAAAATGACTTCGTTTGTCTCCCCATGTACTGTGCACTCACATGTTGTCCAATTAATGTCCTTTCTGTAGTTCAACTACAAATATAGAGTGTTTCAAAAATTGCATATCCAAATGGAACCATCATTTTCTCAAAAAATCATTAAATTTTTTAAGAGAAAAGGGTTTTTTGTGTTATAATTTATAATGTTTTTCATTTTTATGTTGACTTTATACATGTTAGATATTCGGAAGAAATTAACGTGATATTCAATTTTATCCCTAAAACCTATATCAAGTTGTCATTTTGAGAAGGGCAAAATATAAGGGATCTCCTTGTGATTTTGCGAAAAAATACCTTACCCTCTATAGTTTAGAAATCTCCATATAAATATCATAAATTTTATAATTAAAGTGAAAATTGACCTATAACCGGACGTGCGACCTAGTGATGATGGGTATGCCAGATTCTTTTGAAAAGACCTAGAGTTTAATTCCCAATCTACCCTTCAGTTGTTATATTGAAGTGACATATTAGGGTAGAAGATATTTGAAACTATCAAAGAGTAAAATGAAAAATGAAGAAGAATTAAGAGAAAAAATATAGGACTATTGAGGGATCTTAGGGAGAATTGAAGTCACCATGTTCACTTCTGCAAATTTTGGAAGAGGCTTGACGAATCTACGGTATGAATGGTGTCGATGCTTCTACAAGAAAAGAGTAAAAATCAAGATCGTGGAATCGAACAAACCCAGAAAAGGTAGCCTGCATTACGTTTGTGAAGATGAATCCTGCTCCTGTTAGGCATGGTGCAATCCTGCAAGAAGGGATGGAATGGGTAATGAATATACTAGTCAAAATTCAAAAACAAGAGTAAACAAAAGTTGTGGATCTCTTCAAGAGTAAACAGTAATGAAGGTATGCTGGCTATGAACAATTGTGAGATTTTGTTGGGGCTACATGTAAAGTTGAGCACGGTTGAAGGCACTGTGGGAATGTTGAAAGTGATAATGATTTTGTCATTTATTATTTGTTGTTTATCTCTAGTTATTGCGGCTTATAGAAAATAGTAATTTGGTTAGTGGCAGCATATGATGTACCAAATAATGTAATGATTTTAGTTTTTGAAAAAATTTCAAATTTTGCCATGGTCTGTATTTCTTAATGAAAGAAAGATAATAACTATACAACCTGTTTACTCATGAACCTTTAGTAATTTGGATAGTCATGATATAATAACCATAATTTAATATATGGTATTACAAAAAAGAGCAATAATGCCAATAATATTATTACAAATAACTAACAACGATCCCAATAATATTGAATAATTAAAAAGTTATATCACTTACAAAATATGTTAATCCATTATATATGGCATAACCAAAAATAGCATACATGCTATTACAACTTGTTTACATCGACATAAATCCTAAAAATAACATCCACAAATTTCTAATCCTAATTTTTCTTAGATCTTTTGGATCGAGAATTGGGGTTTTATCACTAATTGTAGCAGTGCTGCTTTGCTGAGATACTTGATGCACTGGTGCTTCTCTGGTTGAGGCTGAAGTAGAGCTGTTGTTGCCCCTCGCTGGTTATTGCTTGCTCGAGCCTGCAATCAAATACAAAATTTATTGCTGGAATAATTATTAAGAGTACATAGTGTTGAAAAATTTATGTACTTAAATGTACCTTGTACAACTTGGATTTGGGATGAGGAGCTTCCTTACAAGTTCTCATATTATGGCCAGCTTTTAAATATTTCTTACAGTATACTGTCAACCCTTTTTTGGAAGCTCTTTGTGGATCTTTCGGTTCATCAAGACCTCTTCTGCTAAGTTTTTTAAGTCTCCCAGGTTGTTTCTTCATAAATGGTGGATTTAATAGCTGCATTACACTATCAATTTAGTGTTCTTTGGATGAAACAGCTCCAATATGCCCTTAAGTATGCCTCTTTACTATAGCACTCATCAACATAGTTCTCAACCTTCATCCGCATGCTTTGGATGGCAGAAACAACATGCACACATAGAATTACAGTCAATTGGAATGCATCATATGAATAGCGTCTATGTTGCAAATTCACAACAGAGGTTTTGTTGAAACCATCAACATCAAATGTGTCAATACCATTAAATACAGCAATACAATGTCTACTGTTCTCTACACTTTTGGTTAGTTTCTCAACAATGTTTGGATAGAATTTGCCTCCATATATCTCCCTGCCTTGTCTCTTTAATATCAATCGTTGCATTAACTTTCTTATAAAAAATTCAAGAAGAATCATAATTGGCTCGCCTCTTTCTTTAAAATGTAGTTATTGAAACTCTTATTCAGGTTGTTGGCTGAAATATCAATCTTATTATTCCATAGTGCGCTCTAGACCACAGGTGATATGGAAGCCTTTTTAACCAAGCAGCAGCAGTAAGGTTCTCTTCATTTTGTGGCTGAGCTATCTCCAAAGTATTCAATATTCTCTTGAAATCATCAACATTAGTTGCCGATACAATAGCCCAAAACAATTCTCTCAATTCACTGTCTTTGAGTTTTGCCTTAAAATTCTCAAACAGATGCTCAAACAGTTTTGCCTGTAAAAAATGAAGGTATAAGGGACTACATTGCCCCTTCCATTATGAGTAATCAGCTCCTTCAAAATCAAGTCTAGCTGTTATAGTTTTCTGCTTCAACAATGGCAATGGTTATGGGAAATATATTATCATTCCCATCCCCTTTAAGTGCTACTAACAGCTGACCTCCAAAGGGACCCTTCAAAAAGCAACCATCTAAGCCAATGATTGGTCTACAACCTGCAAGAAAACCTTTTTTAAGAGCACCTGAGTCATAGAACAGCCTTTGAAATGTTGCATTTTGCTCAATAGACCTCCTGTCTATTTGTATTGCTATATTACTATCTAAATTTGACTGTCTAACCGTGGCAGAATAATCCTACAGCCGTTCATATTGCTCCAAATTACAACTTTTGATTGCCTCCTTGGCTTTCCTCTTAGCCTTATATGTTTTTTTACTGCTTATATTAACCATGAATTTTCTTCTGGCATAATTAATAATGCCATCCAAGTTACAATTAGGGTCATCTCGAATCTTCTTTTGAAACTTTCTACTCGGATAAGTTGAGGTTGCATGCTTGTTAATGTACTATCTACCGCAATGGTGCTCTCCCTTTAGTGTTTTGATCTAAAAAGTATCAGTCTCATTAACTCTACTTGCATGAATCTTTCAAAAACATCCTTTTACACATTTGACAGTTATCCTCCAACTGTCATTGTTGACATATAAAACTTCACATCCCTCTCTAATGTTCCATTCTACGAGTGCTTCTCTAAATTTTATAAAATGAGTGAATTTCTTCCCAACCTTTAATTCAAATTTTGGCTTGTTAAACTCCACTGCGGCATTGAAATATAAGTAGTCAGACCTATTTTCATCACCAGAATATAGGAAGTATTCATCTGCAGTCATAGGTTCATTCCATTGTTCAGTGTCAAGGCCAATAGGTTGGTCTTCTCCATGCTGATACTGTGCTGTGGACTCCTCACCTTCTGATTCCTGATGTTTTTGCTACTACTCATTCAAGTCATCAGTTTGCTGATTTGTTTGATGTACAGTTGAACCAGCAGTTGCAACGATGTCCTCATCTTCTACAAATTCTAAGCCCTCTCTTAACCAATCCGGATCAGATTCTTCGTTTTCATCACTATGGTGCTGTTCTCTATTGACTTGATTTGGTTCTCTGTAAGAATTATCTTGCTGCTCTTCTCTATTGACTGTGGCTGCTTCTCTATCAAAGTTACCGTGCTTTTCACATTCTACTGCACTTTGGTTCATTGAAGAAGCCTCTTGCTGGTTGTCGATAGCATCTATTCTGGTATTATGTTGAAATAATTTCCTTACAGATTTTCTTGCTGTTCTCTTCACTGGTTGCACCACAGTTTGTTTCTTCTTCACGAGAGTTTTACCACCCTTTCTGCTATTTTTCTTAGTTGTTTCGAAAGAATTTTGTGTGCCATCATTAGCTTCTACATCAGTTGTGCCATCTAAGTTATTTTCTTGCCCTCTTGTATCACCAACATATGGTTCAAAATCAGTCAAATCAAAAGAATTTTGTGAAACTCCCGCACGATTTCTAGTCAGATCTGAATTGATTTCTGAAGAACTTTTATTATACGGTAAAGCAAGTGGATCATCTGATACGAAAGTCACTAACCTCGTGAAGAAATTTGTAAGAGATTAGATTCAGAATTGACAAACAGGTACCAAACTTGGAGCAGAAGACCTCAACCCGTTAATCACGTGGTTAACGAATCTTGGTATAAATGTAATAGACACCACAATCTAGTGCGATTCTAGATTGATAAGTCACGAACACTTAAAAAAAACTCTAAGTTGTTCAAGAAGTCTTGGAGAAAACCAAGAAAACTCTTGAATCTGATTATATTATTGAATGAAAAAACATGACCCTAGGTAGGCTATTATAGCCTTACAAGTAAGAAACCTAATGCGAAACGGAAAAGGCTAAAACATGACAAACCTCTCTATATTTTAGGAGAACTAGAATTGGCTCTCAAGGCATGCAAGCTGGCCGAATTATTTCTCAATTTGAAATGACTAAACATGACTCCAAATCAACTAAATAACCACTAAACATTACTATGGATCCGAGAGCAAGTGCTCGTCTAGGTTTTAGGTGTCACTCGTGATTCTCCTTCACTTGAACAACATGAACAACTTTCAAACCTTCATGCTCAAGTCTCTCAATAACTTTGGGGACAATTTTTTGACTTTGCACCTCTTGGACAAGCCCTTAAAGCTCCTCTTACAGTCTCTTAGCTCGAGCTCGTGTAACCGGTCCTATAGGAACTCGAATCTTGTCCGATGGCATATCTTGATTTGTATCACCATCATTCGTCACTTTTTCGAATAAGAGCTTGCTATCTAGTGAGACAATTTTGATAGGGATCTGACCTGCCT